CAGTCTGTAGAAGGAGCTGAAAATCACTCAATCTCTGTCAGCGTGAGCTTGATCATTCCTCCCATCTCCTCCATCTGGATCTGGAAGGTGTCCTCGTTCGAGTAGTGCTTGATGATGTTGTCGTCCATGTTTACTAAGATCCTGAAAAAAAAAACAGGGAAGGCTTAGTGATGATCAAAGGACGCACAATATGAAGGATAGTTGAATCATGACTGCACATCTAACATGCTGTTTGGTATCATTATTTAAATTAAATAAAACACATTAAAATAAAATGTACACAAACATTAATGTCATTTTTTTCAGGAAATAACAAATTCATGTTTTAAGTGAGATTTATGTTACTTCAGAATTGTTAAGAAAGTCAGGAATAAGACTGTCAGGTTTCTGTGTTGTGTTCCATGTGTCATGTGATTCCTTTGTTCCATTTTCCCGCCATTTGTTAATGTTTACCTGAGTTTCACCTGTGTTTCTCTCCTGTTGGTTATTAGTTCAATCATGTCCCTTGTATTTATACCGCTAAGTTTGTTTAGTCCCTTGTCTAGTCTTGAATTGTCAACAGCCCATGTCTTTCCTGAGTCTCCAGCATTTCCAGTGTCTGAAGTGAGTGTTTGTAAATGAATCTGTATCGTTTGATAATTCCTGAGTTTTGTGTGTTTGTAGAGGAGCAAACGTGACAGAAGACCAGACCAAGAACCAACCAAACACAAGAGCTTAAATACACAGGACCTCATTTAACTAATTACACACAGGAGTGAGACACTGGTGGAAACAATGTTTCGTTTTTCCTGCCGTGTGTAAAGCTGCTGTCACACTGCACTTTTCTCCCCATAGACTTCCATTCATACGCACGTGAATGCGTCAGACCAGAAATGCAAGCTTGAGTGACAAGTTTTCGCAGTTCTGGAAAGTTCAAACTTGGTGAACTCTGACCTGGGAAATGGCATCACGAGTGTGTGAGACCAATCGTACATACTGTAAAAACATGACCTCTCTGCACAGAAATTTTAAACCAGGACCAATCGCTCGCTTTTTAAAATGTCTAATCATCATGTTTAATCCCGCCCCTTTTCTCAGCGCTGTGCAACAGAATTTCACACGCACAAACTCTAGTGTGACTGCAGCATTAATGTTTAAAAGGAATCACATGAGATGAACAGAAAGCACATGGACCATACAGAAACCTGTCAAAGACATAGTTCATTTACTAATAAAAATAACTATCAACAATGTATAATCTAAAATATATTCTGACCAATTGCCATGTTCTAAAACAAACTAAATCTATATTTGTGATCCTGGATGATGAACGAGGTCATAAATATTCATTTTTGCACATTGAAATTTATATGTCTGAATAAACCAGCTTGATTGATCTGTTGTTTGTTACGATAGGACAATATTTGGCTGAGATACAACTATTTGGAATTAAATGGTTTAAAACAAAATCATAATGTGGAGAAAATTGCCTTTAAATTCGTCCAAATTAATATCGTTGTGTTTCATGCTAACCAAAAATGTTGTTTTGATATTTACAGCAGTAAATAAAATATCTTCATGCAACATGATCTTTACATATGATGATGATGATGTTTAGCATAAAATTGATCTTTTTGGCTCTATTTTTGGCTATTCCCAGAAATATACGTATGCGGCAAACATAAAGATTTGTGGTTTACCAATATTTTATTTGAAATTTGAAAGACATTTTATCATTACTTTTTAGAATAACATATACTACCGTAAAACTTAAACCCATACAAATGCAGTGGTGTCTTTATTCCACACTTGTATATACATTTTTGCAGGAGGCTAACAAGATTAGCATATTGCTAGCATGTTTTTAGCACAATGCTACTTCATCTAACATTACACTTATGTAATATCATTCATTTATTCAACTTTCTTCAGCTTAGTCCCTTTATTCATCAGTGGTTGCCACAGCAGAATCAACCACCAACTTATCCAGCATATGTTTTACACAGTGAATGCCCTTCCAGCTGCAACACAGTACTGGGAAACACCCATACACTCATTCACTATGGCCAATTTAGTTAATCCAATTCACTTATAGAGCATGTCTTTGGGCTGTGTGGGAAACCGGAGCACCCAGAGGAAACTCTTGCAAACAAGGGGAGAACATCCAAACTCCACACACAAATGCCAACTGACCCAGCGGGGACTTGAATGAAGGACCTACTTGCTGTGAGGCAACAGTGCTAACCACTGTGCCATCATATTGCCCCACTTATGCAATATTAATAAATACATTTTAATGGATATTAAGATACACATATTAAGAATTAATTTACTAAGGAATAATAAACTTAACAAATTTTACTTAATCATAATTAAAAATGTCTTACACTTACCCTTTCTTGCATTTCTTGTAGACCTTTCCGATTTTCTCAAGAGAAACTTCATACTTCTCTGAAATCTGGAGGAGAGCGAATGCATTAGCAGGTATCAGTACAGCATCAACATTTACTTTAATGTCACAAGCATGTATTTGTTAAATACCTATCAATATAAATCAGCAACGATTAACTGTAAGAATCTCAGTAATGCAAGTACACTTATAAAACACTTTCTCAATAGCCAAAAGTACTGTAACATGTTACTCAATACATGCAGCTCAAAATAAAACGCAACCAGCTCCATCACAGACCGATTTAAAAAAACGGATCCGATGAAGAAGAATGTTGGAAAAGTTTAGAACTTATAAACAACTCTCAAAATGTGTTTCATAACAGCATGACTTTTGATATTTAAGTGAACTATTCCTATACAGTAGTATTAAGTGCTAATTACACAGTGAGTATTGAAACCACTGCACATACTGATTAAATGGAACATTTGGTTTTCCAGCCAACTAGTATCAAAGTTCATCTTATTTCAGGATACGAGTGCTCGGGCTTAATGTTTTCCCAGCCCCCCTGACGTTATCCTGACATTCCCTCTCCTCATTCTCAAAGTGCGCTAAAGTGTTGCAATACTTGGCTAACGTTCTGCTACGCTCACTGCACACAACAACACGCACACTACTCGTGGTGGAAAGAGTACTAGACAACTATACTTAAGTAAAAGGAGCATTACTTGCACAAAAACTTTAGTGCAAGCTGAGTAAAAATATGTGTTCTAAACTACTCAAAGTATGAGCGAAAATAGCTCAGTGTTCAGTGAGTATTATGCTGTGAAAATAGTTTGACCTTATGGCCTGCAACTTAAAATGTAGCTTAAATCAGTGGGGTTTTCTTTTGAGATGTGCAATTAATTTTATGTGTGAACACATTACATTAATATAATAATGCAGTTTTAATAAGCTGATAGAAAGCAGGCTGATGTGTTTACATACTAAGTGAAGTCTGAAAAACTTAGGGCGATTTTTGGGCGGAGGGCGGAGCTGTGTCACCACGGAGGAGCTCAGAGTAGAGCCGCTGCTCCTCTACATAGAGAGAAGGGCTTGGGCATCTGTTTTCGGATGTCTCCTGGACACCCACCTAGGGAGGTGTTTCAGGCATGTCCCACTGGGATGAGGCCTAGGAGAAGACCCAGGACATGCTGGAGGGACTATGTCTTTTGGCTGGCCTGGGAACACCTCAGGACTTTACTCAACTACTTAATAAAATGTAGTTTCTGAAAAAATCTACTTAATTACAGTAATTTAAGTACTTGTAATTTGTAATACCTCTGATACTTTCCTTTAGCTGTGGCAGTCCTGTGGCAGCTTTATCAGCTCTTTCTGAGCTGGACATTTTTGTGATTCTCATCTCGGCCTCCTGCTATGTTTTTATGCTTATGGCCTGTTGACATTGATCTCCTACGTAACGCACTGTCCCTATTAAATTATCCTGCTTCTGACTCTAATTTCAGGGACTTTTCTGCACTGACCACATGCATTTTGTGTACCAAGTCTACTAAGCACTGGTTTTCTTTTTTTCCTGAATTTTTCTGCAGTGCATTAGAAACGTTGCTGTGGGTTTGGATAGGATGTATCATTTTTTGGGGGTGGGAGTTCTGTTGTGTTTGTGTGTGCTGATGTCTGTTTGTGTGGTGTTAGGGTTGCATTGCTAAACACAGTTATACAGGTATGGAGTTTAGAGGAGACTCATAAAAAGAACGGAGGGAAAACACTCAACCTGTGTCCTTAAATAGCCCTTCTCTGAAGGCTGTGGAAAATTGTATTAGGTAAATTAGATTTACTTTTCCTGAAGTGGTTCTTACTCAAATTATATGCAGCACATTGATGCTAGTTTTGTTTTTCAGACGCTGCTATCAGTTTTATCATCAGCTATGGAAAAATGATAATATTAAAATTATGAGCATGGTGGTTTCAAAAAGTGATAGCACATGATTTTTTTTTTTTTTCAACAAACCACATGATTTGACCTGATCGGCTTTTGATTTCTGTAGAGTAAGCTAATGGCATAATAGCCTAACAGGCATAAATAAAAATACAGTAATACACAAATATTTAATAAATAAAATCATAGTTTTTAATAGTATATTAGCTACATAGTTTTAGTAACTAATTGATAAATTATATTAAATGTATTAAATATTTGTTTAAGTAATAATATTTCAATATTTTACATTATTATTATTATTAATAATAATAATAATAATAATAATAATTGTACACATTTATTGATAGTAAAGAAACAGACAAAAATTTTAATAAATGTAAGTTGTCCTTTATAATTTTTTTTATGATATTTTAAGGATTATTAATTTATATTAGTGGTAGCAGTAATTATAATATTAATACATCGTTTTAATTACACTGTGGACAATTTTTGATACCCACTGCACACATATGGGTGAATATAATAAATATAAATAAATAATTAAATTAATTATTGTTTATAATAATAGTAGTAATAATAATAATAATTATTATTTTTATTATTATTATTATTGTTGTTGTTATTATTATTATTATTATTATTATTATTATTATTATTATTATTATTATTATTATTATTATTATTATTATTATTATTAATAGTAGTAGTAATAGTGAATAATAACAACTTTTATTAGCATTTTTTAATGGATACCTTTCAGCATTCATAATTTTCCTGAGCTCATAACATTGCTTTTTGAGAATTTGAGTTACAGTATATGACCCTGAATGAGCAAAGAGCTGGTGTTGTTTGCACTATTAATGCAGAATATGGAGATCTGTAAACTCACCGCTTCCACCAGGCCTTTCAGAGTGGGAGTTTTTAGCATGAGGGCATCAAACACCTCCTCCGTCTCCCGGCGCACATACAGCAAAACTGCAGAGACACAGAAGAGTGGTCAGCAAAGGTCACTCATGCATAAATGGTCAGCAAACCTCAAATCCAAAATAAACTGGAAAGTAAATTCAAAGTAATCTGGTCAGGCTTTCATGTGGTAGAAGATTTCATATGCCTTCTAATACAAGCTATTTACCATGATCTTTGCTGTAGTTGCTGCTGTCAATACTTTATATTGAAATATTATAAATTATATGAAATTGCTTATCCACATTCTTATTCAGGCAGTTTGAAGCTTTTGTTATGTAGGCTGTATAGTAGAGGCTCGTTTTATTTCCAAGATTTTAAGTTTCTTGTCAAGTTTGAAGTACAAGACTTGCACAGACAATGCACGAATGCGGAGTCTCTTATATGCTCTTGCGCTTCGATGTGCAGGCTAAATAAATGTGATATAAGATCAAAATACCAGTCTTTAAGTTTAAAGCACAGTTGCTTATGTCTGAAGTGAAAGTAAACAATTGAGCGTGACAATTCTAAAAGCGATTATTGAACATCATAACAAAAGACAAAATCACTGTTAGGTCCACCTAATAAAGCAAAGCATTGTTTTACACAGTATTCAAATGTATTATTGGTGGTAATTTGCTTATTAGTTTATTAATAACTGGTCACTTGTCTTCGCTTAGGTTTTACCTTTATATAAATTAGGCTGGCAGCTTCTTTGCTAATATTGACATTTGAATGAAATGGATAGTTCACAAAAAAAAAAAAAATTCTGTTTTATCCTTCTGCTGAACACAAAGGTAGATATACTGAAGAATGAAAAAGGGTAAACTATCCCTTTAAGTACTGTGAGATTTATAAGAAGCTACATGGCATAATTTATTAAATTACTTGGTTAAAAATAACCAAAACAACAAATATTTGTGTTGTTTATACATATTATGTAGTTTTATTTTCAATTAGAACAGTGACAGTTTTGGCAAGACAAGTGTAAATCAGAACTGGCCAGACTGGAAATCTGTTAGGTCAAACAATGCTTGACAAATTAATAAACCAAAAAATTAAACACCAAAACACATTTTTTGAGATGTTGACAGTTTCATGTTGCTTATAACAATATTAGGACACATATATTTCAGTAAAAAGTGAAAGTTGGCTGTTTTTACATTATTTAGAGCAAATTTGTTCTTCCAGTTTGAAAATACATTTTTTACGATGAGGAGATAATTGTGTAAATTCCAGCGTGGAGATTGGCTGTCTATATCGGCCGGTACAAAGTATTGTCATTGAGTTTTCAGCACATCTATTCATCAATTCATGAGAAAGACTTGGATCCAACCAATCAGCGCGCTCTATTGTGAATGAGATGCAACTTCTTTAATATGCATGATATAGCTTCAAAGACTCATTTCACTTGTAACAGTGTTCAAAGAGACGCCATGTTGTGTTGGCAACCGTAATTCAAATAAGAAAAAGAATTGTTCGGAGACATGGGTCATTAGTGTTGCGTTTATAAATGTGGCACAATGAAGGTTTTGTTTCCATATCCCCACGATGAGAGCACCGCTCACGTATTGGCCCAGATGTGTGGATTAGAGTGGTCTGCTAACACACGACTAAAATATGTTTGTGAGGAACATTTTTTACCAGAGAGCTTTTTAAATCTGAAAATGGTGAAATCTAGATTTGTCGCTGGTCTCCTTTAAAAAAAGAAGTTGGTGTTGATTTTCCTGTCTCTATGAAATTGGTAGGTGTGTGATCAGAGTTCTTTGTTTATTCAGTTGACAAAGTTAGTTAGTATCGTCAGCAGTACTCTTTCAGTTTTTAAAGACATACTTTAGTCTAAATGATTTAGTTACTAAGTTTACAGTATGGTAATATCACTACAATATTATGGGCTAAAAATCTTCCACTGCCACACAGCTCTCAGATTTGCTGTAAATAATGCTCTCCGAATCTCTTTCTATCTCCCCTGCGTCTGTGTTTGTGTTGCTGCTGTAGTGCACATAATGAAACTCCCCTTTTTATGCAAACCCTTCCCTCTTTGGCCACTTGACACTCTCTACGTAGTGATACTTGATACTTGATACTATCTACGTAGTATCATAAATGACACTTTTGATATTCTTAAGGTGTCGTATTGAATTTAGAAATTATAATATAGTTATTTTTATATTTTTGTTATTTGCATTTTACAAAATAGTGGGAGTGTCTAATTTTTCAAACTAGATGCAAGAAAACACCCTGCTGAGACAGGGGGAATTTATGACCCTATAAATATTGGAATTTGAATTAATTCTGTGGTAGTATATCTACGTAGTATCATAAATGACACTTTTGATATTCTTAAGGTGTCGTATTGAATTTAGAAATTATAATATAGTTATTTTTATATTTTTGTTATTTGCATTTTACAAAATAGCTACATTAAATGTATTTTATTTTATTAATTTACTTACTAATTGAAGTACTGGTAATCATAATATTAATCCAAATTAAAAACAACAACATGTAACAACAACATTATTTTTATTATTAGTAATATTTATTGATTAAATTATTAAGTAATATCTATTATTATTATTGTTCATATTTTGAATAAGACTTAATGTTTAAAATCCACCTTTCCTCTTACAGTGTTTGCATTTTTACTTTTTACCATAGTGGTTACAATACATCGTAAAATAGCTTTCTGCATAGTTAGAAATTTCCAGTATGGTGACAACACCCTTGGGGTCTGCGGCCCATGTCTATAAGCACAGGGTCCGCCTCATCTTCCCCTTTCACCCAAAAACCCCAGCAGGACTGGGCAGCGTCCCAAACCATTGCTGGGAACCCTGAGTCTCCAATGGGAGACGGTCAGTGATGTGGATGGTCCGGAGTACACAGATTACACACATTACATTCTAACCCCAAGCAGGAGGTCTGGATAAATACATACAAACACCCACACAAAGCCACATGGGGCCAGAAAGAGACACAAAGCATCATGTTGGGAGGCCTAGTGGGCATTTCTTCTCTTTCTTTACTGAAAGAGTAAGCAGTGTTTGTTTCTGCATGCTGTGTTGAAGTGATTTGATCTCATCTGCAGCGTTTGCTGGTCAAATCTTGCTCTATAATTAAGAGCCATATTGTATTGGATTGTATTGTAGCGCCGCTCCAAAATCTTGTCAGCTGCTAAACTGCCTGCTGCCTACTTAGGCAACTCGCCTTCTAAGGCTGAAGGCTGACGTCATGGAAGCTCATAAGTGACTGATCTGAACACTTGGCAGAGCAACTCAGCACGTCGCAGAAAGAGCATCCCAGACACGCAGCTGATTTCAATATATTTTGGTATTTGATATGAAGCAAATGCTGGAATTCTAAATATGAATTATGTGGAATGCAGAAATGCACATCAACACAAATATAATAATATAATTGTATTATTAATTAATAATACTATTTACATTACTTATTATTAATATTAATAGTATTATTATTATTATTAATTATTATATATTTTTATTATGTGTATATTAATACTAATACAACTGCCTATAATATTGTTTATTTCATGTATAGATATAATATTTTTATTATATTATTAATAATAATAATAATAATAATACATTTGACAACAAGTATATATTATTAATTAATATAGTTATGATGCTAATGATATTAACAATATGATTATTAATAGGATTATTATTATTATTGTTATAAAACATTGTGTTTAGTTTAGTTTAATAATATTATGCATTAGATTATATATTGTTTTAGCTGGATAAATAATAATATTTACAAAATACTAGTTATTATTATAGTTCTAATATTAATTATACTAATACTAATCATTTAAACCAGTTGAGTCATTTAAAATGTATTTTTATAAGTATTATTATTATTAATAATAATAATAACAATAGCAACAATCATATAAATAATATTTTTTAATAAATAAGTTTATTTTTAATGATGATATATTGGATATTGGATATATATTTTTATATTATATATAAAAACTATATTATATTTTATTTTACCTATAAAACTATATATTTTATATTTTTACAGCAAAAAAAACAACAGTACTCTAATATTTATTATTATTGTTATAATATTTGTAGTAGTAGTAGTGCTATTAACAATTATAAAAATACTAATACTGTAATAAAAATAATAATACTAGTTTTTATTAATAATAATTTTAATATAATATTAACATTAGTATTATTAAAAATCATAATAATCCATAATAATGATACAATTATTCAGTTAAATTTATTACAATTGTCAATTATATCCTAATTGTTTGCATATCTTTTAAAAAATATTTTTAAACTAGCTCTCTCCATAAAGAAGACAAGCAATAATGCCTTATAATTATTATGAACCAAGTCATCTTCTGAACTATCTTCCACATGTTTCTTTCTTCTCACTATGTTTTGAGAACAGAGCAAATGTGTTTTGAATTAGGGTGTTTTTGTGTGTGGTTTATGCGCAAGCAACCAAATGGCATTGCACCATAACAGCACCGATAATATAGTGCCAACAACAGAGAAATAAACACACAAATCTGCCCAGGACAAAACAAATGACACACACCCCCATTCCAGTAAAAACACACCTCTTTTGGGCTCATCCATCCGTGCCAGTTTATTAGGAGGCGATCCAAACTCCTCCTCAGTATAAGGTAATCTCTTCATTGCCGAGCTAAAGGAGAGACGCAGAGATGAGACAACCCCTTCTCAGAAAAACGCACACACCATCTCATAGAGAAAGGAGGCGCTGATTAGAAGATCATTACACACACCAGACAAACAGCACCTGCGCTTTTCCTGGAAGCAGCAGAGCTAAAGGCCGTTTAGCTCTAGTTTTGCTCTATGCACTTTTTGAAAATCCTGTCTTTAACAATAAACACAAAGAAGACAAGAGACAGAAACTCACCCCTCCTCCGAGTCCTCAGCTGTGAATGCCTGAAAAAAAATCAACAAATCATTTACAAACATTTTAAATGGAAAAATGTATGTTATTTTTGTGTTATCCATTTAATTACGGTTATGAAATGCATTATGGGACTTTCATGTTGAAAACTTAACTCTTAATAATGACATTTTAGTAGTTTGAAACAAGATGTTGTATAAAAAATAAGAACAAGTCGGTGAAATAACAGAGAAAAGGTACTTGCTGTTTATTACCATGTTTATGTATCGTAATTTATAACACCAAAACAGACAATATATAACTTCTAACTTTTAAAGGTCCTGTGAAGTGCTTTGAAATTTGCATTTTTATTCAATGTGTAAGGTAATCTCAACCAAAACACGGAAAGAAGGTGGGACATAGTGTAGCTCCTCCCCTTTTTAAGAAACAACCAATAGTGTTTTGTTTTATCACCGCTCTGTCAGTGAGAATGATTGAGCTCAACTCATCAAATGAAAAGCAAATAAGAAGCATCTAGAAAGATGATGGGGCTTATCAGATACTAGAAAGCATTTGATTGGTAAAAAAATGAAGAGAAAATGAAATTTGATGAGAAAATGAAGTAGGAGGTGATGTGAATTAAACTTTTGATCCATTTGGGCGGAAGTAACAAACTACAAGATTAAAATGTTTATATCAGTTTTATAACTTCTAAACGCACATTTTGTCACTGTTTTGGAGCACACTACCTAATAGATATCCTAAAAACAATAATACTATTAACGATACTAACATCTAAAAAACTTTATTTTAATTTTTTGGGAACTTTAAAGATAACAACTAAAGATTTGTTTTTAAACATTTTTGCATCAAAAGCTGAAGGAAAGGTCATGAATTGGAATAATAATAATAAACAACATAAATCACAACATATTGAACTGCTCATTTTAGGATTTTTTTAACATCACTTTCAAAGGTTTTTTTATTTTTTTGGTGTTTCTACTTATTAAATAGTTTCCACACAAATAGAAAGCACCACAGATTATAACTGTGAAAGGCCCATAGCCAGCCAGGTGGAAAGTGTGGTTCTTTTTTCTCTCCATTTTCTCCTTTTCTATTTAATTATGAGATTTAAATACTGCATTTTAGTGACATTTTAAGCACTATTTTTAGCTGGATTAGCTTGTTGGAAGGTCAACTTAACCACACCTTTTGATGTACCAAAAACATTTCCTAAAAATTAGAATAAAGAATTTCTTACAGTTAAAAAATGTATTAGGCAAATAACAAACTGGCCAGAACATTCAACTTTCCTCCATCACAATTTGGAATGCCGAATTTGGTGCGGTGTGACTTCAGAATGACAAATTCGATGTCCCAAATTCTGTACCGACAGCCAACACAGGATTTGGCTTGGTCTTAAAGCCCTTTTCAATGGGTTATTTTCACAATCCATTATGGGGTAACAAGTCAAAATATGACAAATGCTCACGTATGGGACAAATTCTGGATCTTTGTCAGTGAGGGGTGGGTTTCTCCAATCACTCAAATCTCCCCTGCACTCAAAAAAATAACTTATTAAATGAACTCAGTTTAATTGAGGGCAGGATTTCCATCCAATAAATTTGTTTAGGACCAACTACAAAACAACACAAATAAATACAATTGAGTTGATCCAACATCATTTTATCAAATAAAAGTTTAAATACATTTGTTTTTAACTTAAACTCAAAGGTCTGATAATATCATGTATTTCTAATATGTGTCATACATTTCGAAGTCTCTTATTTTTGTTATCTTATTTTTTTAATTTTTCTAAACTAACTAAAAGAGTCATTTTTAAGCATATTTCATGAGCTACTTAAACAGTTGATTGAGACTCAGAACTCATTTTAGGACAGTTTTTTTTGCACTGAGCAAAGCAACAAACTGCATTTTTACTGATTAAGCTGCAAACAACCAATGCATGTATTCTTCTGCAAGATGATAACCTCAAAACTTAAAGCACTACATGACACTCTTTTAAATCTTCAAATTAAAAAAGTGCAGATTAACCTCTAACAAGTCTTACTATTAACTTTAAACACTGAAGATTATTTTTAATGTCAACATTTCTCTCTCTTAGTTCAATCCCCCGCAAAGTATGCTGGGAACTACAAATCCCCTGACCAGGTAGTTGGACCAACACAAAACGCTTAATTTAAATTGATGGTTTACAAATTTAAGTTGACTGAACATAAAACAAATAAATTGGGTAAAAAATTACAAGAATTGTGTTGATAAAGCTCATTTTAAACAGGTAGTTTGAACAAGCAGCAGTAATCATCGTGTGGCTACGGGCCTGCTCTTAAGCTACATTTAATTGCTAATTTTTTTTTCCAATATTGATATGTTTATTCTCACTACTTTTTTTTACCTTGGTGAGACAAATAAAAAAAAAATTATGACCATTTAAGGACTTTTAAATTGTAGTGATTATTTACATACTTTCTCATTAGGCTCTCAATGGAGAGTCAATGTGGTCTTCCTTAAAATATTTTACTTTAATAGAATGCATATTCAGTATGGCTTTAGCTTTACTGTAACTTCATTTGCCTCCATAAAAATCATTGAAAATTGCCAGATTCTTTTCTTCCAAGACCCCCAGTTGCAGACCACAGGGTTAAATCATTAATACTGTACATGCTAACATGTGTAACTACAGCCTCATAAATCCAGATCATCTTGGGTCCTGCATGTAAACTCAATACAAAAGCTCTCGAACCCCCACAGCATTGAGAACAACAGGGAGAATTTAAATCAGAACAGATGAAGCGCATAATACTGTAAGTGCATTAAAAGCACATCAGGATCCTTTGACAGGTCTGAACTGGCTTCATTTGTGTGAAACCAGAAAAGTGTGGCAAAGTTCATGTTTCGTGTTCTCGCTTTTTTTTTTTCTGTGATTTTAGGTAAGAGTAAATAGCCGAAGGGTTTATTTTTGGCTCTGGCTTTCAATGTCACACAAGCAATGATGAACAAAGGTCATGTTTAAGGATAACGTCAAACATTTGCTTTCCTACAGAATGGCAGACGTGCAGTTTAGCCGTATGGCTGATCAGGTTTGTAAGTCAAAGGTGGACGGTAAAGTAATAATGGTTCTACCAAGAAAATAAACGGATTTCCAAGCTTAAAAACAAAAAAGTGAACTAAAAGCTTTTCATAATTCCACAGATGCAAAAATTTTAAGTTAAATAATATGCATTATTTGCATACATCTCTAGGATAAATTCTGAACACCTTACATACTCTCACTAAAATACTCAATGACAGTTTATCAACACCATTGTTTCCTGCCTTAGGCTCCAGTGTCATCCTACCTTCTTTGGTGTCATAAGACATTTTTTATGACCAGGAGTAAAACTAAACGTCATCTACTCTCCTTTATTCCTTTTGCTCTAAAATTAATAACTAATAATTTATAACTTTTGATGTTTTTAATGATTGCTTTTACTTTGTTTGTTAATCATGCTATATATTAGTATTTTTATTAGTGAAATATAGTCTTGAGTGTGTGTTTTAAGCATTCAGGGATTTGTGCTGCAATACCCTGCACAGAAAGAAATTATTCAAAGATGATTCATTGTATTTACACACACACACACACAAAAAAAAGTGGTTGTAAACAATTTATTTGGGCAGAATTTAAACAAGCAAATTAAGTTGAACATTACAAAATTTAGATTGTTTAAATTCAACCCATATAATTTGTTTGCAACAATTTTGCAGAAATATTTTTTTTCAGCGTGACCTGTCAAATTTAAATAAACTAAACTAAGCCAAATTTAATATAATTTATATAATCAGTCATATTATGTACAAACATCAAAGTAAAACAAAATCTGAATGTAAATGAAACTAAAACAAAAAAATTATTCATTATTAAAAAAACATTTGGTGTTATAAGTGAAGCTGTAGAAAAAGGCAGAAGGAACTAATTTTGAGAAAATAGCCTATTTTTTAAATTACATTAGACTTACTGTACTAGTAACATTAAATAAACAACAAACAAACAAACAAATAAATAATAATTATTATTTATTATGAAAACTCTTAAGCCTAAAATCTCAGTTTTTAATGATTGCTTTTACTTTGTTTGTTTATCATGTTATATATTAGTGTTTTTATTAGTCAAATATTGTTTCAAGTGTGTGTTTGACACATTTCAGGGAATTGTGCTGCAATATCCTGCATTGAAAAAAATGTTCAAAGATTTTTGGATTTACTAAATGGTTGTAAACAAATAATTTGGGCTGAATTTAAACAAACAAATTAAGTGGAACATTACAAAATGTAGTTTGTTTATTTAAGTTCAAGACAAATAAAATGTGTTACCAATAAAATCTTTTTTTTCAGTGTGTCCTGTCAAATTTAAAACTAAATCTAATGTATATAATCAGTCATAATATGTACAAACATTAAAGTAATAGTAAAAAGTAAAGTATATATCTTAGTGTTACTTTACTAGTAACGATAAATACATAAACAATAAAAACCCAAAATATATATAATTGACATGCATAAAAAATTAAACCTTAAATTTAAAAGACATTTGAGTAACATTGATGTTTAAGCGGTTTGCTAACCCAATGGGAAAGGGCACACTAAACAAAGCTGCATGGCAAATTATGCATGTTTTGATTAGTTAAGAAACCATGCGTGGGCTCACGATGTGATCTCTTGCCAAGAACTCTCTGATAACAGCCAAGCCCTTGCTATAAATGCCAGATTTCATAACAGGAAAATGACTGTATTCTTTCCAACTGACTGCATCATCTTGGTCACGGTGACCCAATGTCAATCTGCCATTTCTGTGAAATCTTACAGTCTTCTGCACTCACCGTGCAATAAAGAGCACTGGAGTGATGATGTCAGTATGCTTTTATGCAAAAACAACACCCACGTGAGGATGATAACAGACATAACATACTGCTCATTATAGTTCTGAGGATGTGTAGAGAATTCATTGTGCATGAAAGCTCACCTTAAACTTATAGATGGACATTTTATTCATTCATTCATTCTCTTTTCGGCTTAGTCCCTTTAGTAATCCGGGGTCGCCACAGCAGAATGAACCGCCAACTTATCTAGCACATGTTTTACGCAGCCCTTCCAGCTGCAACACATCTCTGGGAAACACCCATACACCATCCACTACATTGCCCACATTTTACTATGTCAAAAAATATTTTAACCCTACACTTACATTTTAAGATAATCTTTTATGTCGTAATGTGACTTTATGCACACTGTAAGTAAATCATATGCATGTTTTAACACATCTTTAGTCTTTCGTATATTTCTTGTGCCAATACAATAAAATAAAGTGATTGAAATAATGTTCCTCTGGCATTCGGCGCAACAGATATGAATGTAATTGCTTATTAAAATATGTTAATAATAAGCTTAAATAATAAATGTTAATAAAAAGGTTATCAGTGCTGAATTTTATTATATTTACTGATCAAACAAAGCAAAATGCTATAAATGATACAGTCAAGCCTGAAATTTTTCAAACCTCAAGCAAATTCTGACTTAAAGTCTTTGTTCAAATGTAATTAAAATCTGAGAAATATTTTCTTCGACAATGATGCTCGTGTGCGATGCGGATGTCATTCCCATTATAATAAAAGTAACTTTAAGTAAGAATTTGCCAGGGGTATGAATAGTTTCAGGCTTGACTGTATCATCAAAAACTAAAAAGAAATTATTAGTTATAAATTAATTATGGGGCTGCAGTGTCATCATTAAATAGAGTCTATTAAATGATTCCTCTTATATAAAAAAGGATTTTTTTATTATGATAAAATGTCCTTTTTACACAGGTATACATATAATCACTGATTGACTGATCTGTCAGCAGTCTTTATGTTCCAGGTCGCTGAGTGAGTTTACATGCATGATTTTTACACCGTCTGTGTTTAATAACCCACAAAATATAAGTTCATCTGCACGCTTAAAATCTTGTTCTTTTATTGGAAAAGGTCATAAACTGTTTGAACAAAAGCCAGTTTGCTTTGTAGAGTTTCCCCCATTACTCTGATCTCTCTTTTTTTCTCTCTGAATGGACTGTCTCTGGTCAAGCCTAGCAGATAAGATTCTGGATTATTAATGTAAAGCTTAGCAAGTTTAGTACCGGGAAGAAGCAATTCAGAAACTGAAGAGTTACTCAGTTCAAAATCAGCTCAAGCAGTATGACTGTGATCACATGCTGCACAAATGAACGCTATCAGAGATTCTCTTATCATCAATAAACCAACAATATCACCCTGCATAAACCTGTGGAGCACTGCGCATTTGAGCTTCATTATTAGTGTGCATAAAGCTGTAAACGTCAAAACCCATTTAGCCTCTTTTTTTTCTTCTTTTTTTGCTGAATAAAACTAGTACACACTTTATTGTCCATATATTGTTGCCGAGAGGTTAAACAACAATTAATTGTTTAGCGTAACTCACCCAAAAATAAGAAAATGACTCACTATTTACTTACTCTCATGTGATTTCAAACCTTTGAGTTTCTTTCTTCTGTTGAACACAAAATAAGATAATTTGAAGAATGCTGAAAACCTGTTACCACCTACTTCCATAGTAGGAAAAAACAAATACAATGGAAGTCAATGGTTACAGGCTTTTAGCTTTCTACAAAACATCTTCTTTTGCATTCAACAGATGAAAGAAAGTCAAACAGGTTTTAAACAATTAAAGGGAGACTAAATAATGACAGAATTTTCCTTTTTGGGTGAACTATCCCTCACAATGATCGTCTAATATTTATATTTGATAAATTTGTGCGCACAAAAATAACTTGAGGACTGGCACTCACATGTCGCTGGAAGGTAGAGAAGTGGATGTCTGGGATGAAAAGGACAGGCTGCGTCTCGAAATCCGTCAGTGTCCTGAACACTGTCATGTCTGTGCGCTTGTGCAGGAGCGGCACCTTGACATCTGCCCCGACTGCACAAAACGAACAAGGACAAAGTGAAAAACAAGACTCTCCGGGGCTCTAGGCTTCTATTTCTACTACAAACCACCATTGCATCAGTTAAAAGCAAAAGCCTAAAGCTTGTGCTTACAGTTTCCCAAAGGAGGGTTGACGTCAGGACACTTGCCCTTCCTCCGGGACTGTTTCCTCTCCTCGTCACGAATCTTGCGCTCGGCACCCTTGTCGCAGAAGACTTTAATCTGGCAGTAAGCGCGGTGGATGGGCTTGTTACTGCGGTTGTTGTAGCTGTAGGTGTCGATCTGTATGTTCAGCGGCAGGCCTTTCACTCCTTTCTGAGACGAGAAGTCTGTGCTCAGGCAGTTCACCGAGATGAAGATCTGAGGAGGAAAGAGGGAGAGAGAGAAAGAAGTGTTCAAGTTATTTAATGCAAATCGATTTCTTAGAGAGTACTGGAGCCTTTAAAATGACTGTATATAGCTTTACAGTAATAAATGCACAATAAGCAGTGGGGAAACCTCAAAAAGGAGAAAAATATAATTTGAGGGGCAGTTCATTCAAGACTGAAAATATTTCTTCTGTTAAACACAAAAGAAGATACTTTGAAGAAAGGTGGAAATCTTCAGAAGTCAATGGTTTTCAGGCTAATAAAAATACATATATTCTAATATATTATTTTGTGTTCAACAGAAGAAAGATTGAACACATAAGGGTGAGTAAATAATAGTGAGTAAATGGAATTTTTGGATGAAGTATCATGTAAAGAAATCATTATTGGCTCATGTCAATTCAGTGGTTGTTGCTTCCAGGGCTTGTTTACTGTACACCTGCATTATAAGAATAGTTTGCCCCGTGTCATCATTTACTCATCCTCAACTTGTTCCAAACCTGAAGAAACAGCCATTGACTTCCATAGTATTATTTCTTTCTACTTTGGATGTCAGTGGTTGTTTTTTTTTCTTTCAACATTGCCCAGAATGGCTTGTTGTGGGATCAAAAGGAGAAAGAAATGCATTAAATTTTAGATCCACATGAGTGTGAGTAAATGAGGAAATTTTATTTATTTATTTATTTTTTTTTTTTTTGTATAAATTATCTCTTTAAGATGCTTCTCCATCAATTGGATCATAGGTGAATCAGGTCATTTAGTCCAAACAAGGTCTAAAACATTTTCAGCATAATTGATTGATTTAAAAATGGATGAGATACATTCCCGTTTACACCTGGTGTTTTGATGTCTTTAATCCATTTTTGACCACCTTCCTGGTTTGACCACTTTTTAAAACTTTTGATCAAATATTGAGACATAGGCTCACACAATATACAAAAACATGCATATTTTCTTATGAAGTATCTCTGAAATTGATAAAAAAAAAAAATTCCTGAAACGTTTCAAACCCTCTTAACACCTGTATTAAGCATTGTCCATCAGGTGTAAATTGGCGAAAACTGATAAGACCGCTCATGTGGTGTAGTCACTCAGACTGTGCTTATTTCACTAAATTCCTGAACTTAGTTGTTAAACTATAAAACAGCTCAACAAATAGTTTTTTCAATCCAGTTTAATTTGATATTTTTTGATCACCCTTCAGTTACTGAAAGGCCTTTCATTTACTGCTATTTTTGCAAAAAAAAAAAAAAAAAACTAAATGTCAACTCAGCATTGATTGACAATCCTTTGTTCACTTTTAAACAGCAGCTTGCTGGTGTTCTTGTTCAATCCAACGTGTTAGTGTTTTTTTTTTTTTTTTTTTTTTTTTGGTTACAAAAATGTACTTTTAAATGTAGGCAAACTAAAAAGTGCAAGCATGAACAAATGTTCATCTGAAGTAAATAGGGGCAACCTGACTGTGACATTTATTTATTTTTTGCATTGTATGTCGCCCCCTTTTGGCAATCAAGTAGAATTACATCACAAAAAATTGTGTTGAATTTCAAAAATGCATTATCACGGTTTGTTTAAAAAATATTTAAAAAGCAATAGCACTACACTTATATATATATAATAGTGAGTGAATTAATACGTTGTACTACATTTCATTTTCACACATCTGTGTATAAATAGGGTTCTTTTGCTCTTATTAAAGCATTTATTTAGCCTTTTCCCAAATGCATGTAAAATGTTATTATGTTAAAAATTATGACGATTTCAAATAACTTTATATTTTAATATATTTGTATATTACTGTAATGTATAACTGAGATGGCAGAGCTATCTTCAGTGTCACATTATACTTCCAAATAATCATAATGTGCTGACTTGCTTCTCAAGAAACATTTCTTATTATAATTCTTGACAAAATGTTGCATTTTAAACGTTTTTGTGGAAATCATTATACTTTTTTATAATAATTTTAGGATTTTATATAATTGATTGATGAACAAAATGTGTTTATTTAAAGTAAACATTGTTATAATGTAAAAGTCTACTGTATTTTTTTTAAACATCATAAAAAATATGTCACCAAAATTCAGAACAGTTTTGAATATGTAATTCTTCAACACGATCTGCTTATTTCTATCACCTTTATAATAACCCAAGGAAAAAATACTTTATTTACTGACAGCAAAAAAATCTTGTGCAATACTTCATTATTAACAAAAGGGCAGAGACATATTGAGAATAACAATAAAAAAACAAACAGGCCAGCTAACAAGAAATCGTCAAATATTTGCACAAGCTTTCACTCAAGACCTGTATTTTCTGCAAAATTCCCCTAGGGGGCGCAAAAACAACATTAAAGCCTTCCTTTCCAAAACCCTTCAAGATCTCGTCTTTTCGGTCTCTCCATCTTCTGTTTCTCTGAATCTGTCTAAACCACGCCCACCTCGAAGACTGCAAACAGTGGCGCTCACGAGACTGTGCACACGGATGAGCGCGCGTATCTCATGATCTGCATCCTGGTTATAGGACAACATTTTTAAACTATGGATTGTTTACCTTAAAGCAGCTAATTGAGGACTGTAATTACATTAATCCATGCAAAGCCTATTTCTCAAATAGACCTTTTGGCTTAAAAAAACAAAGTAAAGGAAGATTTCGACCAAAGTCTGTTTGTCACATTGAGACGGGTTTAACCTGACCAGTCTGGACGCACTCGTCTAGCTGGATTCCTTCAGTTGTCAGACTGTTCACTGCTCCCCATCAGTGTTTCCTCATTCCCCATGCCAGTGTTGGGCGCGTCTCCCAATATACCCAAAGTTTAGTGGTACAAAGTAACACTGCCAGGCCGCAACACATAGACCTCAAACAAGACATATTTCCCTCAGTCCAACGTCTTTATCTGATGACGACTGAACTGTGTTGGTAAGCGATGGAAACCACCAGCTTGAGTCACAATGACACCTGATATTTTGCAGGACGTTGTTTATGTTGTCAGAATAAACCGTTTGTTTGTGTACTCAAAGTGACTATATTGAGCATAAAATCTTCGAGTCATACTTTTCCGTCCGTTTTAAGATTCTTTATCCACATTGCACAAAAAGGATACTCAGAAACTTGAGATTAAATAAATGAATAAATAAATAAATTAATTAATTAATTAATTAAAAGTAAATGTCACAGGATTGAATCTGTTCACTACACTTTAACAAATCACTAAAGGTGTCATATCATGGAAATCTGGATATACCTGAATAATACAAGTTCAGTACATGTTAATAACTTACCATAAGCCTTAAACAACAGTTTCCTCATTCTCATGTAAATCCCATTAGTGTAAAATCCCAGTAAAAATAGGCCAATCAGAACAAAATACAGTTGCACACGGGATCATAAACATGCAAGCCTCAGGCTGCATTTGATTAGTCACAACATTTCCTAGTGAGATAAAAAAATTGCTTTTATCTATATCTATATATATTTTTTTATTCTTATTTTTAAGTTTAGCTAAGCTTACTGTATATTAACTTGCCATGCATGCAGAACTCTTATTATGAAAAAGGGAGCAAAAGAGACTAAAGTCCACCACATCACATATTACATTGTTTTATATTTATTGCTGAGCAACACGAACAAATGCTGCACAGGTGTGCGTACACAAATAATGTTTAGAATTATAAAAGATGTGGTGTGTGTCCCGAGTGTGATGGGCTTTAAGGAGCTGTTCTCAGCCTGCCATCTGTTTCAAGATGCAGAATATTCAGTTTATAATATACATTTTTCAGTGCCACCCTGAAATGGTGAAATCTTTTGTTGGTTTTATGTGTATATTGTGAAATTTGCCATATTTCTTTGAGTAAAAAAAATAAGTAAACGTGCTGTCAGTAATTTTTCTGTGATTGTCCAAATTGAAAAATTTAATTAGTATTTGTTTTCCAACATATTATTTTAGACTACTAAAATGTCAGTAAACAGTTACATTTTGAAGATCAGAAGTTGACTTTCAACCTCAGAAGCTAAAATGTCACTTGAAAATGTAGATAAATGCAAAACAGCCAAGAATCATACCGTTAACAATTCTTGTAGAATATAAAAGTTACTGTAAATCAGTTACAGCAGAAATACTGTATTTACATTTACAGCACCATTAAAACTGGATATGTTTTTGTAGTATTGAATGTATATCTTTACTGTAAAATCTACAGTAACTTTTACAAAGCAATTTTAAAATACAGTTACATACCGCGTAACCATCCTATAGAAAAATACATTTATATTATGGTTAAATACTATCTAACTTACAAAACTTGTTAACAGTGCACTGTGTTCATTGACTTTTAAAAACAAAAATATTAAATTAAGTAAAATAATGTAACAATTGTCCAAAAATGTCTTTACCTTTGCTTCCTCGCTGATGTCCCATGTGAATGAAATGGCATTGTATGAAATCTCCTCAATATTACTGATGGTGTTGAAACTTTCTTTGTAGTCCGCTGTGAAAGATGAGAGAGGTGTGATTTACAGAAAGACAACTGAATGCTTTAAAAAAAATATTTACAGCAAAATTAAGTAGTTGGTTGTTTCATATTTATATTAAAGACAAATCATAAAGACAAAGATAACAAATATTGAATACATAAAATATATTTTGGCCAGATAAAAAAATTGGACATACAGTATGAGACATTAAGGGGAAACATTTATTTTATTATTTTCTAACTATTTGAAAGTTGTCATATTGTACATATTGTAACTACAAAAAAAAAAACAGCCCACAAATAATGTGTAAATCATATTGTTAAAGACTAGACAACTTTTAATGAAAATGTTCAAAATTTTGCAAGAACTTTTCACCAAAACATTAGCAAAAATGATTAAACAACTAAGCTTTCAGTGTAGTATTTCAGTTAAAAATAAAATCAAACAGTTTAAATAATTAATTCATCAAGGTTTTTACATATGCTAGACATACTATAACATCACGTCTCAAAAGGTATTTCCCCTCAGAAGTCGACTCTCATTGAAAGCATGATAATGCTGTGTGCCCTTTCAGGCTTTTCAATGCTCATCTTTCATTTGCTGTGTATTGAAGGCTCTCCCCTTGACCTATTGTGTTGTCCACCACCTGCAGCCCCTCTGCGTCCAGTTTGTCTGCACTGGTTTACTCCACCCTAAACTACACTACACCAGGCCCAGTAAAGCACATAGAGATCAGAGCTGTCCTCTCACCGATATCAATGCATCTCTGCTTGGCCGTGTGCTGCCTCGAGTGCCAGTATTTCCAGTGCTTCAGTTGGTCATCTCTGGATTTCTCCTCTCCAAACACTACCATCACCACACTCTGAGAAACAAAACATGACATAAAACACACATCAAACACAGTAATTCAGTATTTGGATTATGGGCAGTAAACACACAAAAAAGGTCAATGGGATTACCTTAAATAAGAAAACATTAACTTTACCTACAGCTGTTATTAGGGATTATCAGTGAATGTGGAAATTATTAATAAAAAATTATCATTCATTCTCCTTCGGCTTAGTCCATTATTTATCAGGGGTTGCCACTGTGGAATGAACCACCAACTATTCTGGCATATTTTTAATGCAGTTGATGCCCTTCTAGCCACAACCCTAGTACTAGGAAACACCCATACACTCTCACATTCACACGCATACTCATACACTACGGCTAATTTAGCTTTTTCAATGCACCTATGGCGCATGTCTTTGGATTGTGGGAGAAACTGGAGCACCCAGAGTAAACCCACGCCAACACGGGGAGTAAGGGATTCTATCCATTTTAGGTTTAATAATATTTTATCTTAATTTCAAAGAATTTGCACTGTGATTTATTGTAAACCCTTTTCAATCTTTACTGCAGACATATAGGAAGACAGGTCAGCCTGATCTCATTAGAAAACGTAACTATTTTACGTTTTATCAGTTTTGTGGATAATTCGTACAAATGAGTTCAGTCGTAAGAAAATTTACGATTTTAACCCAACTTGGGGATAAGCAAATCATAATAAATTATATTTCAAGAGTTCAGAATTAGCTGAGGATTTATTAGAAAGCTTGTTTGGCATGCTGTCCCGGGAGAGAGCCTTGAGCTCATAAGATCCCGAGCCCAGGACTCCCTCCTGTTGCAAGGCGAGAGGGGAGTTTGAGCTCAGGGAGAACTCGAGAAATCCCCTGCTGTAGTTGCTAATGATTAAGTGATTGCTCTTAAGAGATAACTACTTTCTTGGTGCATGTCTATGGTGCACATTTGGTGAATCATAAATCGGATAATTGCTGCAAGCAATCCTAAGCACATGATCCTCTCAAAATTAGTTTATAAATAAACTTCACGTATGGGATTATACCATTCCATATGAATCAGCCACTAAAACAAAACATTACGAATAGTCATGAGATATTGTTGGGTAGAGCACAATGTCACAGACTGTAAGTTAATGTTTGAGTTTCACTCGATAACTCTTGAACTGTTAAACTAAGTTTTATGTATATTCTGAGAATTTGAAATATTTATAATATAACATGAATGTAAGTGTATTTTCAAAACTAATTCTTCTGCTACTGTATTAAAAAATTCTATGTCATTTGATATTTTAATATCATGTTAAAAAATACATTAGTTCACTTTGCAGTTTGGCCAAAGTGTCTAATAATGTTTTTTGGATCAATTACTTTTCTAGTATCTTTGTTCATTACATTTAGCAGTTGCAAATTACAATGTAGCCTATATATAAATGCAGTTAATAGGGCAATAATACAAAAATTATAATAAAAAAAAAAATCCCGATTTCAATTACATGAAATTTATGCACTCTTAAAATTTTTTACAGCTTGTTCACAACTAGCTGAAACATCACAATTCTTGAGATTTTTGATTTTATATTCAGTCCTCTGGGAACAACATGAAGGGATTGTGTGGAACCTAGCATTTTTTACAGTGTATGTATGTATACATGCGTGTATTAAAGCTCGTTTATACTTCTGCGTCAAGCACATGCGTATGCTTCGGTGCAGCCTGCGTGTGGCCTTAAAACCCTTGCTGTGGCTGACGCCAACACTGACACGCACCTATCAAAAAATGTAGCTACACGTTGCGACGACGCATAGCGCATACTCTGTGATTGGTCAGCATGGGTTGCTGTAACAAGTGTGGGCACTTCTGAGAGCCTCGAGCCTAATGTAGCAAGTGTTTACAATTGTAGAGTCCTGTAAAAAAGCTCCAGATGGAAAGTTTTGTTTTGTTTTTACCTTATGATTAATGTTGTTAAATTTCCATCGTTCCCTGCCTCAGAACGAACACGTTTTAGCTACTTATACATTTAAGGTGGCATTGAGAATAAACAAAACACCAGCTAAGAAACTCATTAAAGAGAAACATAAAATCCTCACTGCCTGCTAGTGTTTCGGAAGGGTTATTGAAGAGCAACACAAACAGCGAGCAGAAGTATAAATGCACTGCTATACGCAAGGCATGCTCCATGGCTCACGCCGATCACTCGACGCAGACGTATAAACCAGCCTTTAGTTGTGGATAGGCAGTTTGGGGCAAAAAAAGAAACAAAAAATCCTTTTTTCATATCCTCTTACCCTGACTTTACAGATGGGCCCCTGCAGCAGTTTACCATTGTCGGTTTCCCTGAGTGTGATTGGATAAAACTGGCCTTTATTGAGGTACGTCATGGTGCCATCACCGGACTTCTGTCTGAGTGACTTGGAGGCTTCTAATATGTATTCAAAATTATTCCTGTTGACCAAACAGATAAAAGAAGGGGTCACATAACACATATTTGCACCATCACACCAAATACACCCACGTCAATTTCCCTGTTTACATTTACACGGAAGAGGCGGCTTGTCATATTTGTTGTAGGCTGGCGTTCATTTACCCACGGGCCTTTTCTGAGCACCTGTCAGGATGCGGCAGTGACCCTATTTAAACTGTTTGCGCACTTCTGGCAGACTCGTAATTTACAGGAATGAGGCTCTGGCTTACCCGGACACTGTGTCGAAAGTGCCGTAGTCGTCCTGCGTGATGGGACCCATGCGTAACTGGAGATCCCCTGGGAACGAGAACACCTGTATTGGACACAAAAGAGGGGCGAGAGGGCCTGGCATTAGCGCAAACAAACCAGCGGTCAACTAGCAAGAGAAAGCTGATTGCTAAGCCAAAGAAAAAACAAAACGGCTCTCCCTGCTTCCCTGTGTGTGCAAGGGACTATATCATTTCTAAGGAAATCCTCCCTCCAGGTTTACAAAAAAAGAGAGAAGGTCGAGCAGGAATCAGTGAGAGAGAGAGAGAGAGAGAGAGAGAGAGAGAGAACGAGAGAGAGAGAAAAGGACTGGCTATTATGTGAGAGGAAAATACAGCACTTTATTGTGTAAGAGAGACAATGGCATAATGACATGCTAGCTGCCATTTTGGCATGTTCAAATAAAAATCGGGAGGGGGCTTAATACAACAATGTCCTTAGAGTTGGCAGGATAATGAAGCATTGTGTGAGGGTGGGAGACAGGTAGATTTCTCAGAACCATTGATTTTCTGTCCTGTATGTATGTAGTGGATATAACTCTCTTTCCTGAGCTAAATATAATGTTTTATATATTACATGAGACTATTTGCAGTTTACATTTGTCCTACGTTGTAAAACCTAATAAGTTACGATAACTCAAAACATTTAAGGGAAACCGATTGCAACAAACCATTTAAGTTCAAAAACTAATGCTATTGAGTACTGTGAACTCAATCCAGTTGAGTAAACTAAGCAATTTGAGCACAGTAAAACCCAATAAATGAAGAGAACTCAAACCAACTGAGTACTGTAAAACCCAATAAGTTAAGGCAACTCAAACCATTTGAGGAAACCAATTGCAACTAACCATTTGAGATAAAAAAAAAAACTAATCTATATGAGTACTGTAAACTTACTCTATTTAGGTTGAAGTAATGAGGTATTTAATTAACTCATTACCTTCAACACTGAGTTATAAACTCTTTTCAAATGAGTAGAATTAACTTTTAGTCAATTTTGAGTTAACTACACTCATTTCATTTGATAAAGTTGACTGCTGGCTTTTACAGTGTATTTACAATGTCCAAAATGGCTTCTTCATTTAGTGCAGAAAAACACATACACTTTAATAAAAAACTATTAGTTACAATACTTAAAAAAGTGAGTAAACTAATTGCTTTACAATCATTAAGTAAACAAACTACGTGCATAATTATATAAATTAAGGTATGTCAACTTAACTGTTCCGAGGTACAACGAGTGGACTTCCTTTTTTTTAAGTATAAAGTCAACTTGTCACTTTTAAGGCAACAGGTCTTTCAACAAAGACACTGTACTTTGTCATCAATGGACAGTTCTATTGCTTAGTTACATGCCCTGTTAGTTATCTGATCACATCCTTCACATTTCAGGTGCAGTAGGTGATTGTCTTCAGAAACATTTTTTGTTGTGCTGGTTGAAAGTCTCCTCACATTCCAATGGTATTGATTAAAGTAAGTGATCTAAATTTGTTTATATGTATTTTTGTATTCTGGGTAAGACATAAAACTAAAAAATGTTCATCCAAGTAAATAGAGTCGGGCCGACATCTCTCCTAATTCCGATAAGTAGCTCAAACTGTCTGTCAGCAAATGCAGATTTGAACAAATGCACAGCCGTTTGTACGCAGCTCCGCCGTTTGTGCATTGCGCGTTCATAAGAGTGATCGAGAGAGAGAGAGAAAGAGAGAGAGAGAGAGAGAGCGAGCGAGCGATCGGTAAATACATGCTGAATCAAAAGTTTTGAAAAATATTGGATTGGAGTTATCTTTGCACTAGAGTTACCTTTGCACGCTAGGGAAAGGATGACGGGTAATAATAAGTTTTAAAACTATTTTAGCTTCACGCAAAGCTGATGTAACGTTGGATGTTGTTACAAATGGGTTATATCTGCACAGAAGTGTTGTTCAGCCACTAAAATCTTCCAATAAAAGATTGATGTGACTTTTTTCAGTTTCATAAGGTCCTTTTACAGCATCAATAATGTAGATTTGATTTAGTTTAACAACAATACACAAATAGCGCTATTCCGCCTATAACGCGCTTTACCGAGGTGAAGATGGTTTTATATTCAGAACACATTTGTTCATTTTTGAACAATGACGACCTGTAATGCTTTTCTTATATTGTTTACCATGCTACTCTGAATAATCGCTCTGGAATACCATGTCAGTTTGGTTTTGTAATGAGTGTAATTTCTGCTCACCGAACAAGCACTAGTCACTTTTAACACGAGAGAGGGTTCTGTCATCTTTAAGGTGCGCGTGCTCGTGTTTCAGGAGGCGTGGCTCTGAACGGCAGGGAAGGGACTGTGATTCAGAGATTTATGCTAAGCTCTTAGTATTGTGGAAGATCACCTACTGCATCTTTGACATCAACACTGAAGATGAATATTAGACATTGTATACCCATTTTAAACATACTACAATTTAGGATTTTGAAATTACAATTTAGGATGGATTGGCCAAAGAATAGTTAGAAAAAGTGATGGTAATAATTGGTGTTCAAATATACTATGGTATGATTGGCCAGCTGTCACTGGAGTGGTACCTTTCTAAAAGACACATTTGTAACAGAAAGGTCCATATACAGTATTAGTACCTAAAAATGTCAACCCTTTTGGGATCCCTTTTGCATCTTTAGGTACTGATATGTACTGTTGATGTATATACAGTGGTGTAAAGTAACAAATTACAAATACTCAAACTACTGTAATTGAGTTATTTTTCTCAGAAATTTTTATTTACTAAATAGTTTTAAAAATGTGAACTTTTACTTTCCTTTAAGTACTTTTTAAGTACTGTATCAGTACATTTACTTTCCTTCATCCTGCAATTACTAATTTATTATTTCCTGTCTATGGGAATCAGAAAAAAGTATTTCAATTCCAATCGCAGATAGAAAGTAAATCGCATCATACTGAACTACCTTAAGACATGCAGCAAACGGTTGGAAAGCATTATAAGTGTCCAAGAAGATACTTTATAATGAACCAGAGACTGTTTAGACTGAATGTCACTGATGAGAAGATGACAGATGTTTACTATATGATGACTGATATGGCCTTGAACAATAACTAAATGCACTACAGAATGTTACAGTTACACACACACACACACACACACACACACGCACACAAATTACATGTAAAAACATCAACCTTTCCCAGTGTAATACTCACCACTCTTGAGTACTTTTGAAAGGTCTACTTTTTACTCATCCTTTGAGTAATATTTACAACAGATACATTTACTCTACTTGCTCTACATTTTTGAGCAAGTAATGGCACTTTTATTTGAGTATGATTTTTCAGTACTCTTACCACTACTGTGTATATAGATAAAAGATACATTAGATACAAATATGTATATTTTAAAAAGGTCATTTCAGATTTTTAGAAATTTTAAAGTTGAATCAAATTAAACTTATGATACATTTTAACTTAAATGACAAGAAACTGACTTAAGGTTTGTAAAATGAAAAAAATATATATTAAGTTAGTTTTTATTTAAACATTAAATTAATTTAATAGGGTCTTACTAACTTGTTGTCATGACTTATATTGATCATATAATTTTAAAGTGCAGTGACAACTCTCATAGCTTTAAATTCAGTGTGTATTGTTTTTTAGACCTCGGTAATGAGGATTTTTTAAAAGGAAAAGTTAAATTAGCAAATCCTGAAAATAAGTCGGGAAACTAAAAGCAGCAGTGAAATACAGGACTGGAAACTCACGTCTGGGTTTTCTGGGAAGGTGGAGTCTGGGGTGCGTGGCTGTGTGTTTGGGCTGAACTGGTTGTGGGGCAGCTGGCGGTCGAACACCACCGTGTGGCTGTCTGGCTCTGCGCAGTGGGGGTTCGGGACAGTGACAGAGAAACCATGTGATGGACCCTCGGTTTTCACTGAGTTGCTTGCTACAGGAGCGATCGACACAGTCACTGTAGTGTCAGGGCTGGGAAAGAGACCTCTCTTATCTTGGACATGTTGGTTTCCTGGCAGGACAATGTTCAGGGGGACCCCTTTTAGGACCTGGATCCTGTTGTCCCCTAGCTGCATTGATGTCTCTTGAAGAGGGGTCAACATGTTCCTGATCAATGAAAATGGGATTTTAATCATTGAAAATATCTTAGATTGTGTACTGAGCAATGAAGTGTGACTTCTTCTTTTTGTAGAAGATGTCCACTAAAACTATAACAATAGTTAAATTCACTAAAAGTTGGGCGTAGTTAGAACAAGAGCCGTTTAACTGATAGATAAAAAGATTTTATAAATTAGAGGGATAGTTCACACAAAATTATAATTTATTTTATCATTTACATTTTCTCTACTTGAATTCCTTTCCTTTTTGGAACCCAAAAAAGTTGCTATTCTGTAGAATGCTGGATACTGGTAGCCATTGACTTTCATAGTATTAATATACTATTAAGTACTTCCATATATTGTTTTCCTACTAATAATGGTCAATGGTTACAGGTTTATAAAGTTTGTCAAAATAATGTCTTCTATGTTGAAAAAAGAATACAAATTTATAGATCTTTAGAACCACTTGAGTGTGAAGTAAATAATCTATTTAGAGAGTAAAAGATTTGTTTTGAGGTGATCTAACCCTCTGCCAACACTCTTATTAACTGTCCTTTTAAATCTTAATACTTTGCTGCAGTTTTACAAATTTTTCAGCAATATGTTTTTAATTAAAATTGCATTTAAAATATAATGAACTCTAATAGGAATACTTATCATTTTAAACATCTTGATAAGAATAAGTCAGAAAAAATAAGTTGTTTATTATGTTTTACATATAACACTGAATGTCAATGTACGATTATTTCACTTTGCTTTAGATTTTATTTTCACAAAGGTTATGTGAAACATTAAAGTAGACCATTTACTTTCATTTTATTTACTTATTTACTTTTACTTTTCATATTGTTTACTTATCAAAAATCCTATCAGTAAATTTAATTTGATGTGGACCCTAGAATGGGATGTCTCATCTTTGTCTCAAATAACAGACAATATTAATGTTTAGTTATCTTTAGTTATAGGTAGGGCCAGAGAGAATCTGCATACATTTTTTGCTATTTCTGCTGAAAGTGTTGTAAAAAAAAAATCTGCAGATTTATTTTGGGAGTATCGTAACTAAAAACTTAATATATGAATTAAAAATATTATCTTTTTAACTTTTATTTATTGTTTACAATGTTAGAACCTCTTATTTGGTAAACAAAGCAAGTCTCCTAATTAATATCTCTATTAAAAGACAGAACAAGTTACTTCACAAACTATATTGTAAATAAATCATATGAACATTTTCATATTAGTCAATAAGATTTAGTGTGATTTTACTGTATAATACATACTTTTAAACAGTGCAGCACCATTAAACATGTACATAAACATATTTTAAGCACTTCATATTCTTTGAAAAAAGCACTTCAAATTGAGGTCACTTACTGTATATTGAGCTTCTGCATGCTGGACAAACAGACATGACAGATCAACCGTATAAATATTTGACAACTATCTTCTTTACTATTATTACTAATTCAAACCTCCAGCACCAATATTAAAAATAAAAGTAAGACCTCAACTTCCAAATATGAGGAAGAAATGGAATTCACTCTTGCATTCTTAAATGACTGATGACTATTTTCTAATCTATTAGTTACTGCAACCATAGTACAGAATAATGAAAATGTAGGGTCTCATCTTCCCAGTATGAGAGAAAAAAATGGCATTGACTAAGGCATCTTTGATGAGAGCTTCACCTTTTGTTGGGATCCACATCAGAGCCCAGGACGTCAGTCTTTTGCTGGGATATTGTTCTCTTGTCCCGTGGCACCTGGGGAAAGCAAACAAACTCTGTGTAAGTCTGACCACATCCAATAGCATCAGCTTTACCTATTATATCTGCCAGCCAACATATTTAACATACAATCAGCATTTGGTGCAAAAATAGGACATCATCAGACATCATTAAACTCAATGTGGTTCTCAAATAATAACCATATTCTGGTCTTAGACATGTTAATAAAAAACTATTTTAGTTATAGTATATATATATATATATATATATATATATATATATATATATATATATATATATATATATATATATATATATATATATATATATATATATATATATATATATATAGCAGTGATTACAGTATTAATAAATACTTTTTTGTTAATATTTAATGCTAAATATACATTTATTTTTTAGTTTTATGTTTAGAAATAATCATATTTTTAGCCTTTAAACAGCATGAAAAAAAAAGTTTTTTGCTACTATAAATTTACATCCCTCAAAGAAGTTCTGTTTACTGGACTAACAAACATGATAAACATGGTCATAATTTTTATTGGTGTATTAATACATTCAATTTAATTAATAATTAATGCTAACTTTGCTTGCAATACTCTGTTTTTAATAAGTACATTTCAGATTATTATTTTTTTTATTTAATTAATTTAAATTGTATTTTAATTTAACTTTGAAAAATACTAATCTTGGCGTAAATCTTGACCGTCGTACCTTGTAGTAATCATACAGCAGACCCAGAGCCGCAGCGCTGTCCTCGTCTCCATTAATGCTCATCATGGCTTTGGTGGCGGCTGTGAGCGGATTCTCCAGGAACGACTTCCAGGCCTCATCCTCACTGGTGTAAGGCCGCCGCTGGTTGTACGCAGGATCATTGGGCAGCACGAGCACTGCCCGCTTACTGTAAGGAACATTCACAAACCGCCATCAATACTACGACGACAACAGCGAAATGAATCTTCAGGCAGGCCGTGTGTGATTAGTAAACAAAAGAAACCCAATGATGGATGTTGAGCATCAACAGTCTGGAGGTGTTTTGGCATTATTAATGATGTCATAGTTGACAAAAGAGCTGACTATGCTTGTGAAAGGCCTTCTTTATCTTAGGATCTGTGACAAAACCGGCCCAAACAACAAATCTATGCACAGACCGCAGCTTCCCGTTTGACAACATGCTTCACTTGCTCTTCCAGTAAGACGGCCAGTCAAGAAGTGTCAGAAGGAGATCTGGTGACTTTTTCACTTGCGACAAAGTTCATTAAGAAACCGGTTGGGCCGTTTCGCTGTGATTTGTCATCTATTATTGAGACTAAGATGACTTACAGTGATTTTAAATTATTTGATCCACTGCTTATGTATTATTGGGACACAATTGAGTTTTTTTTCTCTCAACTTATTTTTAGTTTAAGGTGAGGGCCATAACAAGAATGTTAACCCAGAACTGAACATTCTGTCAGCATTTACTCACTCTTTACTTGTCACAAACCTGTTTGTCTTCTTTTCATCTGTTGAACACTAAAGAAGATATTTTTAAGAAAGTGGAAAGCTGCAACCATTGACTTCAGTGGTATTTGTTTTTTCCTACTATGGATGTCAATGGTTACAGGCTTTCAGCTTTCATCAAAATATCTTATTTTGTGTTCAGCAGAGAACAGAAACTAATAAAGGTTTGAAACCACACAATGGTTCAGTTTAATTTTTGGGTGAACTATCCCGTTAACTGGTATGCAATTCAAATATGCATTATTCATTTTACTCAGGGCTAATGTCACCATGCATGCACTCTTTAAGCGAAAGTTTTAAAAAAAGTCTTCATGTAATCATCCCTTACTTGTTTCAAATGTTCAAAGTTGAACACAGACTTAGGTATTTTGGAAAATGTTGAAAACTGGTAGCCATTGACTTCCATAGAATTCTTTTATTTTACACTATGAATCTTAATGGTTACCAGAAAACATTCTTCAGAACATCTTTTTGTGTTTAACAAGACAATAAAAGGTACTCATAAGTGTTTGGAACTACTTAAGGGTGAGTCAATGGTGAGTAAATGTTCGGTTTTTGATGAACTTTCAAAACAAAAACATATACTTTAAACATCAATGGTTCTATAGAGATCATTTAAGTAACATATGATCTTTTAATTGCACAACAGGTACTTTAGAATGGTAAAACTTTCTTCACACTTTCCAAAACTGCTTACTAAAAACCTCTTTAGAGCACCAATAATAGTTCGTCAAACTGTGAAACCCCCCATTTTGAAGGGCTTTTTTTTGGGGGGAGGGTGATGATGGTTAGTTTCTGTTGTCCCCTTTAATAATAGACTCGATCCATATAGAGTTGCTATGACAAAACTTGCGTCCAAGTTGGTGTACGCAAACGGATTACGAGTAATTTGATAACTAATTGTGCCATTCTTTCTCCCTGTTTGATTTTAACTTCGCAACCCGATAGATCCGTTATCCTGGGACAATAAAAACCTTGTGGACACGCAATCCCACTTCTAAAACAAAAGAGGCAACCAAGCGTGAAATCACTAATGATGCGTTTGCGACCCCATCCAGCAAACTCCAAACACTAACTAAGAAGAGTTTTGAGTTTTTGCATTAGGAGCCACAGATACACAGTCTCTAGTTGCATATATGCTATGGTGATGGTCATCAACAAACGTTTGTTTGAGTGGAAAAGCTCAGCAACTGGAAAATATTTACTGTACACACAATGACCACTTCTACGAAACAAAAGAAGCCGGAACGTTTCCTAAAAAATCCAGAGCGATTCTGTGTGGATTTGCATGTTTTAAACAATGCACAAAAGCCTTAAACACCATTCCTGAGTAGGAATTGCCAACGCCTAGAAAGCAGGTGTGTGGTTTCAATCAGCTCCTTTTACAAAACTTTAGCCAAATTTAACCTAAAATAATATTTTGATGATCCCTTTAGACATTTTGTTGATTATACCTAACTACATGCGAGTGTAAGTAGTCTGTTTACAGTAATACCTGCCAACACTTTTATTTTGAATGCCTCTCAACTGACATTCAGCTGACTGTAAGTAAATATAAGTACTTTAATGAGAGAATTCTTATTGACAGTTACTTAGTTAACAACTTCTGTTGAGGATCCATCAAAAACAAATGAACAAATAATAATTAAAATATCGCAGATTTAACATACTGTACAATACTAATAATATCACTTACTCCCACATCATATACTATTACCTTTACAAAAACACAGATACTAGTTGCACAAGCTTATAACAAACACTTACTAAAAGAAAGTCCTGCAATTCCCATTTTGCCTCAAATAGGATTTCACTCCAAAACAGATAAACAAACATTCAAAACAAATCAAGTATCACGCAAGTCTGACAAACTCAGCGCAGCGCTCATAACTCCCGCAGCAGGTGCAGATACACCTGCGACCGTAGCAGGTCTGAACATGACAGGTGAACTGAAGAAACCGAACAGCACAACTGTGTAGCGGAATCAGCTCTCGCTGACAGTCTGACTCCTCACGGCAAGCCAATGCCTTCCACAATTGCTAAACTAATCTCAGTCAGCTCCAGCAAATAAAAGCAGAATTAAGCAGTAAACAGTGTATGAATCATGGGATCCGTTTGTGTCGATCTTCCCTCGGTTAACTATGGACCAACAGTGGTGAACTTACTTTTCATGCTCCTGTGACATCTCTTATGGTCGAACTGGACTTTCTAGTTGGTACTGTAAATCCGATCCTTCTTCTTCTTGTATGGAGCAACGTTTTCAGGATGGGATGAGGGCTGCGTTAGAATTGCCTGTACGAGAACGGGTTTTGTTGGCTTTTCTCGCTTTTTTGGATATACTGAGAAATTGGGGCCGGTTTTACCTGTGACAGGGCTCTGGATTGGATTACACCTAAGAGGAGGAGCTTAATATTCAAAGACGCTCATCTGTTTATGGTTTGTGTATGTTTAAGGTTGCATCAAATCTGGGGAAATTAACAGCACAGTGTAAATACGGTTTTTAAATTTAGATTTGCATTGGAACATTTTGGTTATTTAAGCTTAAAATTGTCTATATTTCTATATAGTATTTTTATTTTCCAAACAAATCTGATTTAGATTTGGGCTACTGAAGATGCTAAGTTTGAAAATATTATGATTTTGTAATGTTAGTGTTCTTTGCGTACCAAGGCTGGATGTATTTGATTTAAAATAATAATAAGAAAAACTGTAATACAGAGAATTATTATTTAACTTTTAAATAGTTTTTTTTTTAAATATTGCATTTATTTATGTCATTATTTACATTTTTATTGTCACGTGATCTTGCACACTGTAAAAAAAAATCCTGGTTGTCTTAAATTTTTAAGCTGAATAAAAATAACCTTATGAGTCCATTGAACTTATGTTAAGGTTAACTGACTTAAAAACAGCTTGTGTAACTTATCAAATTAAGTTAGAACACGATTAACTTTTTAAAAAGTTACAATGACCTAAAAACATATGCGCTCAGGACTAATTGATTATATAATTTTTTACAGTGCAGAAATCATTCCAATATGCTGATTTGATGCTCAAGCAACATTTATTTAATTTAATTTATTTTAGTATTTAAAATATTTAATATGTATTTATTTATTTCATGTATTATTATTAATTATGTTGAAAACAGTTGTGTTGTTTATTGCATGTATTTTTATGGAAACTGTGAATATAATACCACCAAAAGTACAAAGATAAAAGTCTTAATAAAAGATGTGTTAATACAAGGGATAATATTTATTTAAAATATTCATATTTATTAATGACACATTAAATTGATCAAAGGTGACAAAAACATTTATAATATTCTAAAATAAATAATAAGCAATTTTTAATGCTGCCTTTTTAGCTTCTGTTTATCAAAGAATCCTGAAAATCGATATTTATATATTTTTACATTAATAATAATATAATAATCAGCATTGAATATTGAGAAACGTTAATGATTAACCACAACACAGAATTAAATCAGTATATTTGAAATTCTGAAGTATTATTTGACTCTGAACTGTGGAGTAATGATGCAGAAAATGCAGCTTTGGATTATACAAATTAATAAATGTTTTAAACATATTCCCAATTTTCCCCAAACTTTTATCAGGTACTAAACAAGACATCAAATAAAACAAGTTTAAATCACTTTACAGTATAGAAAAAAAATCTGCATGAAGACAGCATTTGTATTAAAAAAACACATATCATCTCATTATAAATTACACAAGTTTAAACTGTTCCTGAAAATGGTGGTGATGTTCAACATACTACACTAAAGGATGAGATATCATTAGAATTGAACATTCATTGTGTATCCCAGAGATGAATATGAACAATGACATCTCTTGCTTGGCTGTAAAATTAGTTTTCATGTTGTAATTCACATGCATTTCCATGTCTTCAGTTTCTGCTGATTTGTGTGCATAACAATATTAGGTGTTGCCAATACAGCATTCATTTAGCATATTAGGACAGGCCCAATTCAAAGCGCTGTTAACACCCACACCAAACCAAAACCCAACGCTAGTTCTTCTTAACTGAACAAAATGGCTTTAATAACAATATATATATTTATATAGCTGTTTTATTTTGCATGATATAATTATAAATAATTATACAAAATTATTCAGTCAATTAAATAATAAGTAATAATAAATAATAATAATAATAATTTCTAAACCTGAACTTGTCTTGACAAGAAACTATATAATATGCATATATCACTTCATATATCAACAGAAATGTGAAATGCAACAAAACCAAATGGGAAAACAGTCGTCTTTAGAATAAGGTGCTTGTTGTTGTTGTTTACAAGCTAATCACTTGTGTTTATTTGCATGTCATTTGAATTGATTAGGCTACAAAACTAAGATTTACATCTTGCTTGTAGTTCCCAAACTCCAACACACTTACTTGTTTTATTATCATGCAAATAAGCCAAATTCATGAAACTCCAACTCCATTCAGTTTCTACTATGATATTCTTTCACTTAAATGGATAGCTAATATCTCTTTAAGAGCTTAGAGAGTGTTTCTTATAGTGGATGAGTGTGTTAAGTGGAGATAATGCCTAAAAACTTACAGGGATGAGAAAATAAACAGCAGCTCTCCTTAGCGGGAGAAGGCTTTAGATGCTATCAGTGAGTTTTCGGTTTAAACTGTTCTGAGTCCTGCAGCACTGTTTATTTACCCTAATGCTGAGACCTCTGCTTGAACAGGCACACTGTTTATATTTGCTGTCATGGCTTTGAATGTGTGCTGACAGCAGGAACTCATTATCCATATGCATGTGGATTGGTTATTGCTGGTAAATTTAGTTTAGCTGTTGCTACAATATATGTTTGAAGGCGGTGTGTTCTAATTGCAATCACTTTTGTGTACAGAATATATAAAGTAATCACGTTTGCTGGGTTGCTTATTTATCAGTTGTAGCCTATTGCTACAAATTATGATGAAAATGGTAGTCAGTTATGTAATTAATCATTGTAGGTATTACTTTTTTGGATTACTTTTAGATTACTTGTGACTAACATGGATTTCACTGGGGTTATAGATGTTTAATAAAAAAAATGGAATGAAATAAAAACATATTTGTTTAGTTAAATATTATAAAAGGCATTTAACATTATTTCACAGGGTTTCCAAAACTGGGAAAACATTAAAATGGCGAAAACAATTCAATTAATTTACATATTAAACCTATAAAACCTGAACGCTTAAATATAATAATGAATTTGTCATGAATTTGACTTCTGCCAATATTTTCAACAGTGTATGAGCAATTATAGAAAGTTTGCATGTTCTCCCTGTGTTCGTGGTAGTTTTCCCTGGTTTCCCCCACTGCCCAAAGACATGTGCAATAGATGAGTTGAATGAGCTAAATTGGCCGTAGTGTGTGTGAATGACAGTATATGGGTGTTTCGCAGTACAGGGTTGCAGCTGGAAGGACATCCACTGTGTGAGACATATGCTGGATAAGTTGCCGGTTTATTCCAGTATGAAAAAAGGGACTAAGTTGAAGGAAAATGAATGAATGTTGTGTCTGTCTCACATTTTGATCAACTGTTAATTATTTGACACTTGACAGAAAAAGCATGTGACTTGAAGTGAAGTCACTTTCTCTCATGGAAAACTCTGGAAGGCATCCATTGAGGCATGTCGTTTCTTTTTCTTTCATTTATTTGTACAAAATGTTTTGGATACGCCAATTGTAGATTAAATACACAGTTGAAGTCAGAATTATTAGCCCCCTTTGATTTTTTTTCTTCTTTTTTTAAATATTTTCCAAATGATGTTTAACATAGCAAGGAAATTTTTACAGTTTGTCTGATAATATTTTTTCTTCTGGAGAAAGTCTTATTTGTTTTATTTCGGCTGGAATAAAAGCAGTTTTGACTTTTTTATTAACTATTTTAGGGACAAAATTATTAGCCCCTTTAAGCTATATTGTTTCTCGATAATCTACAGAACAAACCACTGTTATACAATAACCTGCCTAATTCCCCTAACCTGCCTAGTTAACTTAATTAACCTAGTTTAACCTAAATGTCACTTTAAGCTGTATAGAAGTGTCTTGAAAAACATCTAGTAAAATATTATACACTGTCATCATGGCAAAGATAAAATAAATCAGTTATTAGAAATTAGTTATTAAAATTATTATGTTCATAAATGTGTTGAAAAAATCTTCTCTCCGTTAAACAGACATAGGGGAAAAAAAACAACCGGTCTAATAATGTAGGGGGGCTAATAATTTTGACTTCAACTGTATGTCAACCCTGTTCTTTCTTTACCAGAGATGGGTTGCAGCTGGAAGGGCATCCGCTGCGTAAAATGTGCTGGATAAGTTGGCGGTTCATTTCGCTGTGGCGACCTCGGATTAATAAAGGGAAAAAGCTGAAAAGAAAATGAATGAATGAATAAATGAACCCTGTTATTTCAGCAAATTTTTTATTCCCTTTTGAAAAAGAATAGTATAAAGTAGTAGAAAACACAAAATTCATGCCCTGTGGTTGCTGGTTTGAGGTTAGCATCTTGAGCTAAAAGCACAAAATGATGGATACGTCAACACTGTTTTTGTCAAATAACAAGTTTTGTCAAATAACAGTTAGTAACAGGATCAAAACGTCTGTCACATTTAAACAGTTTGGATTTTTTTTACATTAATAAAGGATTTAAATTTGTCTGCATTATACAATTGTTGCACGTTGCTTCAGTTTAAGGAAAATTAATAGTAAATGCTTGTAATGTGTCCACCAGTGTTGGGGGAAATGCATTACAAGAAACACGAGTTCTGTAATTTTACTCCTCTTAGTAAAGACGAATTACTTTTACTAAATAAGTCATAATATTTAAGTTACTATTTTGGAAAATTTAACATGAGTTACTTTTTAATTTAATTAATTAGCTTTTAAAAAATTTTAAACTCATTAAACTCATTAAAGAAAAATAAAAGGGGATCACAGTATCAATGGCCAGGGACTTTACTTAAGGTTAATGGTAAAAAAGTAGCAAGCACATTGCTTTAAACTTTCAATAAGCTGTATATATTGTATGTAGAGATTCGGAGTGAGGATATTCTTAGATAACATTATCCTAAAATAGTTTTTTAAAGGTAAATGT